AACCTAGGTTCCACAGGGAGGGGCCCATTAGAAATTCATAGGTAGAAGTAGCACAGGCAGGAAGATGATCTCCTTGCCACTTGTTTCAGTTGCCAACTTTCCAGCATTCTCTTGCCCCATGTGCCAGGCTCTCTGCACACCAGTTTCTCACATCGGACCCTGTTCAGTGTTTGTTATTCATTCCTGGATCAGACAAAACTTGTAGTGATGTCACACGTAAGCTGGGGTAACCTACACCAATGCAAGTTGCATGGCTGTAGAGCAAACCATGTCTGTACTCGAAGATTGTACTCATGCGGCTACAGCAATGGCTAAAATCCCATGACAGATTAGCAGAATTTAGCTTTTATATAGCACTTTTCATCAGTGGATCTCAAAGGCCTTTATTAAGGAAGAAGGTATCATGAGCCCCATTTTACAGAAGGGAAAAGAGAGACACAGAGTGATGAAGTGATGGGGCAAGGAAGGCTGGATGGGGCAAGGAAGGCTGGATGGGGCTTATAATCAAGATCTTACCCATTGCAATCAGCGTCTTTGCAGCCCCGGATGGCTTTTCAAATCCTTGATCATCAGATGTTGACCACCCTGCAGGGTGGAATATGCTGACTTTTCTACTAGGGATATAATAGCGTAGTTGATTAACCAATAAGCTTATCGAGTAATGCTATTGACCACATGCATTCCCCACTCCCCGTCCCTGCCAGTAAATTTTTTAGAGGGCGTTAGAGGGCTGGCTGGGAGCTACCCCGGCTGCGGCTCCTAAAAGACTTGTACTGTAGAGCAGTGGGGTAGCTCTCAGTGCTAATCCTTATCAGTTAATCATGTAGTCGACAACATTTTTGTCGACTACATGATTAACGAATTATATGCTTCTTAACATCCCGATTTTGTAGCCCTGCAGCCTCTAGCAGCTTTGGAAGCTGGGCAAAAGGTCAGATGTGGTAATCCAGTCCGGACCCCATAAGTGGCAAACAATACCACTGGGTTGAGCTCATGATGGATTTTTAAATAGTGCTGTAAATTACTGTGGTGGTTTGGGCCTAAGGCTAATTTTAAATTGGAAATACAGATAAGTGAAAATGCGAGGAGGCTTAGTTGCTCTTCCATTGTCTGATCGGAGGGGCTGGGGGAAAGGTTAATTGTTGGTTTTATATTTAGACTGGATGAGTCTCAATCTTGTTCCTCTCACTTTCCCAAGCATGTTGCAAGGCAATTAAAGTTGGATGAGCTTGGTGCCTTACTCCCTTAGGAACGTGGCCTGCCACTGGAGCTGAGCCGTGCCAAGTGCTCTGCAGATAGTGGCACATGGCAAGCATCCTGTCCCTCCTTAGCAAGACACGCTGTTATGTAGCGCATGTCCCAGATGTGAGTGTTGTCCAAGGTCTAAATATCCTGTGGGGTTACTTTAAACCAGAATATTCTACCACTCAGGCCAGGCCTCTACCTAAAATTTAGATTGACCTAATTTTGTCACTCTGGGGTGCGAACACTTCACACCGCCTGCGACATGTTAAGTTTACCTAGGCGCTGGTAAAGACACAGTTAGGTTCTGTCAACTCAGCTACTGTGTGTGGGGAATTAAGTGTGTATGCTATAATGCTGCTGCTGTACTGTCCTAGCATCTGCATGTAGACAAGCCCTTCGTTGGAAGGCAGTTTCTGGATCGCTGGGATTACTTTTAATGTAGAACCTACCCTGTTCTAACATCTGCATGTAGACAAGCCCTTCATTGGAAGGCAGTTTCTGGATCACTGGGATTACTTTTAATGTAGAACCTACCCTGTTGTGCTCTGCTGCTGCACTGCCAAGATGAGCACAGACCACGTCCCTCTGAAGTCAATAGGCAAACTCCCATTTGCTTCAGTGGTTCAGAACTTGGGACCTGGTGCACACGTATGGATGTGAAAATGAGCCAATATGGGGCAAATACAAAATTAGGCAAAGACCCCTTTCTTTCTAAGTCCTGCTCCCACCATGTAGCAAATGATGCAGAATTAAAAAGCAGACCTTATAAAATATTTGAGGGTGTCCCTTTAACTTGTGGAAAATACTTAACCATTTGGAG